CGTCCCTATTTTTCTACTTGCATTTTTACATGCTTTAGAACTGCTAGGTTGGCAGCAGCTGGGACAAGTAAAGGGAGCTCACTCTTTTATGCAGCGCTAGGGATTTGAACCGCTGAACTGCCGACCTTTCTGATAGTCAACCTTAGTGTCTTAGCCACTGAGCCACTACGTCCCCTTTCCATCATAAAGTAAATTTGCATAAATCTGGAAGAAAAGTATATACAGCAAAAGCTCTTTTTATCACAAAGCTGAGAAATGCATACAACCCACTTTGGCAACCTACAGTTTTCAAAAAGTCTCTACATGTAGCTTTTGATTTACAATCGCAATTGAGCCCAGTTGAGACTCTCTTGCTAAGCGAGACAGTTTTAAATGAATTTTGCCCCATTTTACGATCTTTCGTGCCACAATTGTTAAGTAAATCACTGCAGTCGTTAAGTTAGTAACACAGTTGTTAATTGAATCTGGCTTCAGCATTGAGTTTGCTCGTCAGAAGGTCGCACAAGGTGATCACATAACCTCAGGATATTGCAACTGTCATTAATACATGCCAGTTGCCAAGCATCTGAATTTTGATCACATGACCAATGGGCTTTTTTTTGGGGGGGGGAGAAACTGGAATTCTTCAATTAGAAGAAATTGGGCCAAAAAAATCACAAGAAGTTAAAAGTAGTGTTTCTCAACTTTAAGATGTATGGACTACAAATCCCAGAATTCCTGAGAAAGGCTTTAGGAATTCTGGGAGCTGAAGTTCATTTAGCTTAAACTTCCCAAGGTTGAAAAAAGTCTGAGTTAAAGTATAATTGATATCCAAAACTGGAAAGATAGAGCAGTTTATATCACCCAGGAGATATAAGCATTAGCACTGGTATCTCTTCAAGCCACCAAACTTCTGTTTTATCATCTAAGAAAGATACACACAGTACTTCAGGAGTAACAAAATATTAGAATTTCAGCCATCAGTAGCTGCAATCTCTTATACTCCTGGAATGCCCAGTTCGGTATTCATGAGTGATTGCTACTTGCCCATTAAAAAATGACTCTCCAGGTTTCCAGCAGCTCCATGTGTAACAATTACAAAAAGACAGCTAAGTGTGGTAGCAGTTAAAGCAGTTAACCTTACCATCCTTCAACAAGCCATTTTTCAAATGGACTCTAGCTGAATTTCTAATGTCATTTTAAATTTAGAGAAATGAGCCTGAACAAGGAATAATAAATCTGATACAATATATCTCATCTTCAGAAATTATTGGTCTGAAGGGAGGGGAAGCAAGTAACTATATCTGGAGCATCTACTTTAAGAATCTTAAATGTGAGTATCCCATCTTCATCACTAGCATTTTTCAAAACCTGGGAAATACATTTAAGACATTAGCTATGCTATTTTTCTTTAAACCTAGCAACAGCTTAAATTCTGAAATAACTG